TTTCCCATAGGAATGGCACGATTTTTGCTTCTTGGGCCTCTCTTGGGCTGCCTCTCGGAGCGTCTTGGAGGCTTCTGGGACCTTCTTGGTGTCATGACAGGCGTCTTGGAAGGCATCTGGAGCCATCGGAGCGCGTTCCGAAGCCGCCTGCGAACGATCTTGGACGGCGTCCGGCGGTCCGACGAGCCTCCGGGCCCCCCGGGGCCCACATTTGTGGTCGGGGTCCCGGCCCCGGGCCCCCGGACCCGGTGCGCCGTTATGTATATGCACACTCGAGCCCTCACGCAAGTTTCGCTGGGGGGTCGCTGGAAAAGCCTGCACAGCGCTGTCATGCACAAGCGCGTGCCCCCCCTGATCATAATTCGCAATATCATACTCCTCCTCGTCATCCTACTCATCGTCATCCGGATAATCACCATGACAATACACACCATCAACAACATCATGGAGAGCATCCTTGGCGCAATGCTGCAGGCCATGCCGTCACGACAAACTCGAGTATTATTATCATCTGCATCAACATCCTGGTCCTCCTCTTCCTCCTCCTCCTTCTCCTCCTCCTCATCACCCTTATCTTCATCCTCATCCAGATCAACATCTGAATTCTCGCTCCCATCACCATCATCATTAACACCGCTGCACAAATTGTGCAGGTCGTTACTGCCATCGTCTTACCCAACATCGTTATTCTCATCATCATCATAATCAACACCAACATCGTCATCGTCGTCGTCGGCGGTGGCCCGATGTTCCAGGAGAGGCCTCCAGGAACATCCGGCCAACTGCGAGCCTCGGGGGGCCTCTTGGAGGCGTTTGGAGAGGTTGAGGGGGGGACATCTGGAATTTGTTGAAGGTCCTCTCGGGGCCCTCGTCTGTCCTGTCGGGAGCCCCTGGGACCGTCTGGAGGGCAGCGGGAGGGCGGCCCATCGAGAGCGATTAGGGGAGTTCTTAAGAACCTATAGCTTGGGGGCCTCTTGGAGCTGCCTTGGACGTGGGTGTTTCGCAGGCTGTCTTAGGGCGCTCTTGGCCCGTCTGACGCCTTCGGAAGCCGTCAGGCTTTGCTCTTCGAGATCGCTTGGGTCGTTTTAGAAGGCTCGTGGCAGTTTTTGAGGCCGTCTTGGTGGCCTGTGGGGCGTTTCTTGGGGATCTCTCAGGCAACTCTGGGAGCTCTCAAGCAGCCTCAGGGGCGGCCGCCGGATTCAGGAGAAGGAGTCAGAAGCATCATCGCTGTCATGATGATGATCGTCAACATAATTTTTACTGTCGCAATTATCATCTGCATCGGCATCCTCAGCATAGTCACAATCACTGCCGTAATCCTCGACGACGTCCTCACCATCAGCATCATCATCCTCACCATCTCATCAGAATCACCATCATCATATTCCTTACCATCATCAATAGCATCAGCGTCATCATCAACACCATCATCATCACCACCATCATCATAAGTATGAACAGCCATATCACCACCACCACCAATATCGCCAAAACCATCGACAAACCCACCAATAACATCACCATTACAATTACCAGTATCGTCATTACCATCATCACCACCATCATCATCGCCAACATTTCACAATCATGATTACGATCATAATCATCACCGTCAAATCCTCCTCATCATCAGCATCAGCACCAGTAGTAGGTCAACATTAACATCATCAGCAGCAGCAGCATCAACATCGGTATCAGCATCAGTTGCAGCATTGGCATCAGCACCATAATCATCATACTCGTTATGACCATCATCATTATCATCATCATCTTCATGATTACCAGCATCGTCATCGTCGTAATCTCCACCGTAACTCTTCTGATCGTCGCAACCATGAGAAACAAAACCATCGCCATGAGGATGTTGGACACATCTTAGTCATTCCCGGAGGCTTCCTTGATGATGATGATGATGATGATGAAGCGCCTTGAAAGGTCGGTCCTCCCAAAACACAAACCTGAGAAGCCACCAATACGCCAAGTGCGTACGCCTTGATGCCTCTTGGGAGGCTCGTTGAAGCGCGCTTGGGCCGTCTGGGAGGCATTTCGAGCTGTTTGAGGCGGGGACTGTATCATCATCAAAACAAGTATCGTCACCATCAGCAGCATCACACTCATCATCATCACAACCACAATCACCATCACCATCAACATCGTTCTCCCCATCATCGGCATCAGCAAAAGCGTCAGCATCATCATCACCAGCGTCAACATGAGTATTACAATGTGTATCAGTATCAGCATCAGCACCATAATCATCACCATCGTAATCATCATCGCAGTCCTCCTGATAATCGCGTCCATGAGCATCGAGATCGTCCTTATGATCATCTTGAACAAATGTCGGTCCCTCCTGGAGGCTTCCTGGAAACCTCTTGGGAGCCTCTTGGAAGCGTTTTGGGGCCGTCTGGGAGGCGTGCTGAGCTGTTGGGGGCGGGGGCAGTATCATCACGTTAAGTCCTTAAGTCCTTAAGTCCATCAGAAGAAATCAACAAATTCATCATACTTACCATCCTGATATAACCAAGCTTATCTCCATCATCATCAGCCTTCTCATCATCATCATCATCATCATCATCATCATCATCATCGTCGCAATCCTTCTTCTTATCATCAAAACCATGAACATCAAGATCGTCGCCATGAACATCACATTTGACATCGTCGTCAGGCCGTCGACCAAATGTGTGCGGAGAGGCCTCTGGGAACATCTGGGCTGTTGCGTGCGAAGGGCTCAAACGGGCCGTCGGGAGTGAAGGAGTCCAGTCCGGCATCAAGTCGGATGCGCGCCTCGGGGAAATTTGTCGAGGTGTGGGGGGCTCGGAATGGGCCTTCGGGAGGCTTGTTGAACCTGCCTTCGCGCATGTGAGTTTATTGGGGTCTCTTGGAGCCCCGCTTCGGGGCGCTTCCAGGAGTGCCGCAGTGATCATAATCAGCAGCAGCAGCAGCAGCATCAGCATCAGCATCAGCATCAGCATCATCATCATCATCATCATCATCATCATCATCATCAGCATCAGCATCAGCATCAGCATCATCATCATCATCATCATCAGCATCAGCATCAGCATCAGCATCAGCATCAGCATCAGCATCAGCATCATCACCATCACCATCACCATCATCATCATCATCATCATCATCATCGTCCTCATCATCGCCCTCATCATCGTCCTCATGATCGTCCTCATCATCGTCCTCATCATTCTCACGGTGTCATTATCATCGTCCTCCTACTCGCTGGAACGCATGCAGGATTTGGCCAAAAAGGAGGTCACAGACGTGGAATGAGAGGTGCGTGGCCTGGCGGAGCAGCTGGAGAGCAAGCGTTAGGCCCTGGCCACCGCCCAGGCCGACTCTGCCAATGTGCATAACGAAGTTGCAAGACGCCCGGGCGGCGTGCGACGCAGCGACATCCCAGGCTACCGCTGCCCCTGCGGACCCTGGCGAATTGGCGAAGGCCCTGTGGCGCGTGCAGACCCTCTTGGCCGTCGCGCCGCAAGCTCTGCAGGTGGGCCGTCGCACCGACCTCCTGCAGTCCATCCGGGAGCACTTCGACGCCCTGGCGGGCCACTCCTGCCGCAGGCCCTGGCCGTCCCTGGCGCGCCTGGGAGGGCGTCAGCGGCTGGCGCCGCGGCGGCTGTTGCTGCTCCTAGTCGCGCTGCTCCTGCCTCGCCTGGATCGTTTCGACCCTCCGACCAAAGACTCGGCGCCACCCTCTACATTTGGGAGGACGCAGGCATGGAAACGAACTCGATTGAGGAGAGTAGTTGATTACGACTCCAGGGCCCGGGCTTCACAGGCTGGGCAATGCACCGCCTCCAGTTTGGCCACCTTCCACGGGTCGTTCTGGCCCCACCTGCAGGGCTTCCTCGAAGCAGGCGCTGGCGGCGTCGCCGTCGGCCAAGAGCTCAACCTCGACGGCGACGAGATGATGCGTGCCGAGGGATGGTGTCGAGAATGCGGCTCGCAGCTCTTCACACACCGTGCCAGGACGCGGTAAGGCAATCTTTCGGCTGGCGATGCTTGACGGCTGCCCGGCTCTGTTCGGGCACTCGGTGGTCCCAGCCCGTGCTGTAGCCATCCACGTGGACTTTGCCATGACGGGCGGCATTACCATCTCGGGCGTTAACTTTCAGCACGGCATCGGCATGGCGGGGTCCAGTGTGCACCTGCTGTTACGGATTGGCGAGGTCTTGGTGCAGTACGGGCGCCCCTTCGCCCTGGCGGCAGATTGGAATGTGTATTCCTGAGGTCGTCGAACGCTTGCAATTTCCCACGAGGCTCGCGGGCGGCCTGGCCTGCCACCGCGATCTCGGCACCTGCGCGTCGCCCCGCGGCTACAGCAATTTAGTCTACTGCATGGTCTCTCCGTCCCTCTTGGCGCCCACCGGAGCCCCTTCGCCCGCTGAGGGATGGCTTGCGCGACCACGCTAACCCATGCTATTGCCTCTGGACGTGGCGCCGCGCAGCCACCGCGGCCTGCAGCTGTGCGCGCCGCTGGCGCTGCCCCGTGGCCCGCCCGCCGCGGTGGGCTTCCACCTCCTGGCGGGCCCAGGGCCACGCCGGCCGTGGTTGGAGGGCATGGGGGCTGATGCTGCGCGAGGGCCCGCGAATGATCCGCAGGAGAAGCAGCGTCGCGTGAACGGCCCTTCACAAGTTTCGCCGACTACGCCGGAAACGAACTGGCTTGGGGCTCGGTCCGACCTGATGGGCGTCGACTGCACCGGGGCACGCGCCCACGGTCCGCGCTGCACATGGCGTTCGCGTGGTAGCGCCCCTTCGCGATCTCGCCCCGCGGCCAATCCCCGGGCGAGGTATCTGAGCCTGTTGCATCAAGCCCTTGGCGACGTGGCTTGCATTGAGGCTTGGCTGGGCGGCTCGTTGCCGCCGCCGCCGCCGGCCCAGCGGCGCCTCATCTCACTCCTCGGCCCCAGAAGCGCGCAGCTGGATCGAGCGCGCCGTCGCCACCGCGGCGCGGGCGTCGCAGCTCCCTGAAGGCCAGGCAATCCTCATGGCCTTGATCCCCACGGATGGCCTCGAGCGGTGGCTTGGCGCCATGGCGGCCGCGGAGGAGCGGCCGGCCGCTGGTTGCCGCCGCCGAGGTTTCTCGGCGCGCGCGCGGAAGCCACGAGGCTGGCGCCTCGAGCAAGTCAATTACGACGGCGAACTAACGCCGTCACCGCGGGCGGTGACCGAGCATTGGATCGAGGGTCGGGCCAAGATCTGGAGTGCCCGCTCCGTCGCGGCCACTGCCACTGCCACGTGGGGCGACATCCGCGGTGGCCAAGGCCCAGCCGAGGCCCCCCCCCGGCGGCCTCGCCAAGCTTCCAGTTGCCCCCCCCGCAGCGCCCAGCGGGTCAGAGCGACCAGTCGCTCCCGCGCGATGCCGCGGCGCCCCGGGCAGGCTGCCAGTTCGCGCGCGCGGACATGTTCAAGCAGCTGCGGGATGTCATGCGTGGCTGCGTGGGGCCCCGTCCAGCCGCTGTCGGCCAAGCGCGTGCGGGGCGCCGCGCGCGCTTCCCCACGGCGCGCGACGAGGCTATCGCCTCTCTGGGCCACCTGCTCTGCATGCATGAGCTGCGGGGCCGATGGCCAACCGCCATGACGGCCGTCCCCATGCGACTTCTCCCCACTGGCAGCTTCTGGCCGATTGCCCTGCTGGCGGCATTGTGCAAGGTCTGGGTACGCGCCCCGCTTCTCGAAATCTGGCATTGGTTCCTGAACTACGGCACGCGGGACTACCGGGTACTGGGGCAGGGGCAGGCAGCGGTCGACGCGGCCTCCAAGGTGCCGCTCCACGGTGAGGCCCATTCCGCTCGCGACGCGGACTCTGACGCAGTCGTTACGGCCCACAATGATATCGAGAAGTGTTGAGAAGAGCTGCAACTGCCGCTGGGTTGTCATCGTCCGAGCGGCGAGGGCGCGCCGCTTCCCCGCGACCATCGCACGCTCCGCCGTCGCCATGCACTTCGCGCCCCGCCAGCTTCAATGGAGCTCGGCGCATTCCAGGGTGCTCCAAGCCTCTTGCGGGGTCCACCTGGGATGCGCGCCAGCCAGCGCGCTGCTGCAGCTGGCGGCACTCGCGCCCATCGACGAGCTGATGCGCGCGACCGCCCGCCAGCCGCAGACGCTGGCCATCTACGCCGATGACCTGGCGGCGCAGATCCGCGCGGCCCTGCGGGTCACCATGGAGCGGACGGCAGACTTCCTGGAGCGGCCCGCCCTCGTCCTGCAAGAGACTTTGGAGCTGCCCAGTGCGCGGCGCAAGGCCCGGGTAACGTCGTCTCGGATGCAGGTCGCGCGCAAGGTCGCTCGCCGCCTGCGACGCCGCGGTCTCCGAGCTTGCCGGGCGTTGGAGGTCCTCGGCGTGGAAGCCCGCCCACGTAGCCCAGCCCCTGGCGCAGGGTCATGGGCCCTGCCGGCCCAATGTGACTGACGCTGAGAGACCCGGGCCGGGGCGCGCCCTCCGCCTTCGCATGGCGCGCGGACGAGGGCGACGCGTTGGACCTACTCGTGGCGGTCCCATTCATAACCCAGCAGCTCGCGTACCAGACTGGGCAACCACGCCCGACTCCGCGCCCGAGCTGGGCCCCATGCGCCGGCAGCCGCGGGGCAACTGGCTGGAGCCGCTGGAGGCGCTGTCGCGCGGGTCCGCCACCCATTCAAGGCGCGCAGAATCTGGCGCCGGCGCCGTCCGGCCCCTCGTCGCGGGCGCCACCCGGTCCCTGGCTAGGCCGCGCGGGCGCGGCTACGCGGCCGACGGGCTATGTCGCCGATGCTGGGGTGCGCCAGGCACGTCCGTTCGCCGCTATTGTCGGCGCGAGCCGTGCCAGCCCGAGCGGGAGGTCGGCGCTGCGCGAGGCCCTGATCGACAGGCTGCCGCGCGCCATGCAGAAAGACCCGCGCTGGGCGCGCCTGCTGGTTCTGCTGTCCTCGCCGCCTGTTCCCCCTCCCCGCGACGACGGCGCCCGCTGGCGCGCGCTGCTGCGGCCCCAGGCGCCGCGGCCACGAGCCCCATCTATGCAGACGGCTCCTGCCTGAAGCGTTAGAGCCGCCCGTGGGCTGCCAGCGCGGGCTGGGGCTTCGTCATCCTCGAGAACTTCCAGGCTGTTGGCGGCTACTGCGGTGCGCTGCCTCGACTGGTCCACTCTTCGCCCAGGGCCGAACTCTGGGCGGTCCTGCAGGTTCTGCCGGTAGCCGTTCCACCAATCTGCATCCGCGCGGATCACCTGGAGGTCATTCTCGGCCTGGCGCGCGGGCGCGCGTGGGCGCACTGCCCCGGGCGCTCGAATCGCGATCTGCGGGTGCAACTGTGGACCAGGTTGGATGGCCACGGCGGCCCCCCCCCGACGCGCGCATCGCTCACGTCCGCGGGCGCCAGGGCGGCAACGACCAGCACCGGCGTGGCAACGATTGGGCGGGCGCGCTCGCTCGCTTGGGATCGGGGCTCCGCTGCTCCGTGGACCAGCAGAAGATGGAGCCCAAGGCCCTTCTTCGACGCCTTCGTCAGACGGCCTGCTTAGTGGCAGCAGTGCGACGGCCTGAAGTCGGGGGCCTTGGCGCGGATCGCGATCCGCGGCCGCCGCGCGCGCGAAAGCGGCGGGCGCGCCAGCTGGGGCGACGCCAGGGTCAGCTATGCATCGACGGCGGCCTTTGTTATGTTCAGTTTTGTTTCGCTGTCTCGTGGCGGCGTCGCGCCTGGCGCGGTTGCAATGCTTGCGCGCTCGCTGGTCGCGCGCGCATGCTCCGCCGAGCGCGCAGGGGGGGTGCTCAGGGCGCGGGGAATATTAGCCCCATTCCCTTTCGAGGGACGAGGCAAAGCCTGTGTGCGGAGCGCCCCATGTCTCCTACGATCGACTAACCCACGCCCAACTGATGTTCGCGTCGAACCCTTCACCAGTTCGACCCCGAAACGCCCCCAATGTTTGGCCCCTGGGGCTTCCGGCGGCAAAAACTTGCTCCTGTTTTTTGTTTGACCTCTGGCGGCGCCCCAGGATGCCAGCATGTCGAGCCAGTGCTCTGCGGCCTCGGGCGCGGGGGAGGGTGCCCAAGTCGGTCTTTCTCCATCCCCGGCTGCCTAGAAGCCTCTTCGCAAACAAATGTGTTTCGCCGAGGACATCGGGCCGCCGGAACGCAGTCCGCCGCCCCCCAAGCGACGGTGGCTGCCGCGGCGCTGATGACTGGAGCGACGCTGACGGTTTCAGTGCCCCCCTCGTCCTCGGAGCCGCTCTGGCGACGGATCCCAGCTCGAGCGGGGCCGGCGCGTATCTCCCTGGAGCTCCCGCGCCGTCGCGGGGCCTGAGGCGCCCAGGCTCCGCTCCTTCTGCTCGCGCCGTGAAGCCTCGGACTTCTGCGTCGTCGGGATCGGCTGGATCGCGCCCCGGAGCTCTGGTGCAGGGGGCTCGGCTGGATTCCCACCGCCTGCGGCTGGCGCGCTCCCTGGAGCTATCGCGCCCAGTCGGCCGCGGGCCGGGCCTGCGGGCCCTCTGGGGTGTGCGGCGCCACGTTCCACGAAGGCTCGGGGGGCAGTCTGGGGCGAATGCGGTTGCCTCGCCTACTGCGCCTCTCTCCGAGTCTGGCCCCGTGCCGCCCGAGGCGAACGCGGGGCATGGGCAGAGGGTCGCAGGCGAGCGCGCGGCGCGCGCGGCTCGCGGAGGCCGTCTGCAGCCTTGCGATCCAACCCAACTCCGTCGAGCCGAATGCGCGCGATCGTTCCAATCGGTTTTTGCATGGCTTTCGCCCTGCGAACCTAATGTCAGGATTCGGATTCTGGTCCATCGTGCCAACGTCGTTGGAAATGAAGCTCTGGCATGGCTATGGCTCGCGCGGTCTGTTCGCGTTCGATTAACATGTGTTTTGCCGCCTCCACGGAGGCGCGGGGAGGACGCCCTGGCCGCGATGCTCGTCTGGGTCGTTGGAGCGCCTCTTTGCTCGTTCCGCTCCTTCGATGCGCGCGGCGCTCGACCCGAGCTCGGCCCCGATCACCATCGTCATCATCACCATCATCATCAGCATCACCACCATCATCAGCAGCATCAGCATCAACATCCTCATCATTACTACAATCCCCATCATCCCAATCATCACCGTCACCATCGCCATCGCCATCACCATCATTATTACCCTCCAGCTCCTCCTCCTCATCATCATGATCATCGCCACCGCCACTACCACCACGACCACCACCAAAACCACAACCGTCATCAACAACATCAGCATTATCATTATCTCTATTCCCAGACCCCTTGGAGTCGTGATTTGTTCAGGACTGCCGCTTGCGTCGTGAAAATAAATCACACGTCGCAGGAAAAAAAAAAAAAAAAAAAAAAAAAAAAAAAAAAAAAAAAAAAAAAAAAAAAAAAAACATGGAGGCAGTAAGGGTGTCCAAGGTACGCAAGATATGGCACGGCCTGCTCATGGAGGGACGGGCGAATTCATTTCTGCAACATGCGTGTATAGCAGTAGTACACGGCAGCATGATGCCGCTCACGCGCCAACGCCGCCTTCTGCAGCGTCAGGATCGATTCAAACACTTGAGAAGGGGTGGAACGAGGATCTATGCATACATATATATATATATATAGATATCGATAGATATACACACGTGTATGTATGTATGTATGTATGTGTGTATATATATATATATATGTATATACATATATATATATATATATATATGGCGCCCGCACTTTTCATCCGCATGCGTGTGGCGCGTAGTGCATAGTGGCGCGCAGGCCATTCAGCCTGCGCTCTCTGCGCCGCTGAATCGCGCGCGAGGCGAGCGAGCCCTAGTCAAAAGTTGAAGGGCGAGAGATGAGAGGAAGAAACATGCACCTCTCAACGCTATATATATATATATATATATATATATATGTATGTGCACAAACCTACACACATCATGCGCAGGCATGCGTGCACGGAGATGACACTGCGTGGTGCAACTCGAGGGGGGCGTGCTTTTTGGCCCCAGGATCCTGGGCCGGGGCCAGGGCGGGGAAAAACATATCCCGGCAAAGCAACCTAACAGCGATGTGTAAAACCATATCTGGAAGCATTTCCCTTAATATTCAAATGAGAATCCTGTTGTAGAATTCTGCTGTTCTCGCATTCGTAATCGCATTCGCGATGGCAGTTGCAGTGGCAACGGCAGACGCAGTCACAGCCTCAGCCTCAGCCTGCCTCAGCCTCAGCCTCAGCCTGCCTCAGACTCAACCTGCCTCAGCCTCAGCCTCAGCCTGCTTCAGCCTCAGCATCAGTCTGCATTCAGCCTCGGCCTCAGCCTCAGCCTGCCTCAGCCTCGGCCTCAGCCTGCCTCAGCCTCAGCCTGCTCAGCCTCAGCCTCAGCCTCAGCCTCAGCCTCAGCCTCAGCCTCAGCCTCAGCCTCAGCCTCAGCCTCAGCCTCAGCCTCAGCCTCAGCCTCAGCCTCAGCCTGCTTCAGCCTCAGCCTCAGTCTGCCTTCAGCCTCGGCCTCAGCCTCAGCCTGCCTCAGCCTCAGCCTGCATCAGCCTCAGCCTCAGCCTCAGCCTGCCTCAGCATCAGCCTGCCTCAGCCTCAGCCTCAGCCTGCCTCAGCCTCAGCCTCAGCCTGCTTCAGCCTCAGCCTCAGTCTGCCTTCAGCCTCGGCCTCAGCCTCAGCCTGCCTCAGCCTCAGCCTGCATCAGCCTCAGCCTCAGCCTCAGCCTGCCTCAGCATCAGCCTGCCTCAGCCTCAGCCTCAGCCTGCCTCAGCCTCAGCCTCAGCCTGCTTCAGCCTCAGCCTCAGTCTGTCTTCAGCCTCGGCCTCAGCCTCAGCCTGCCTCAGCCTCAGCCTGCCTCAGCACCAGCCTGCCTCAGCATTCAAAATGTGGCCCGGGAATAGAGTTCTGGGAGCACGAAGAACACGAAGTGGCCTATAGTTGGCTCCGGGCATTCAAAATGTGGCCCGGGAATAGAGTTCTGGGAACTCGAAGACCACGAAGTGGCCTACAGTTGGCTCCGGGCATTCAGAATGTGGCCCGGGAATGGAGTTCTGGGAACTCGAAATCCACGAAGGGGCCTACAGTTGGCTCCGGGCATTCAAAATGTGGCCCGGGAATGGAGTTCTGGGAAGTCGAAGAGCACGAAGTGGCTTGCAGCTGGCTCCGGGCATCCAAAATGTACGCCGGGAATGGAGTTCTAGCAGCGCCAAGAGCGATTTTGCGAGGATGTCTCAAGCGATTTGGGCTTCGGCGGCAGCCGCCCCGGGCCCCGCCCCGACCCCCCTGAGGAGTCATGATGCTCTCCAGCAGTCTTCGCTGTTAAGTAAAAACACCCTTGGAAGAAAAAACCCT